AAATTATTTAAAAATTTGAAAAGATTTACAGTTTCTTTTATAAAAAAAGGTATGAAGGTGATGATGGGCTGTAATGATGATAGTGATTTACAATATTATTAAAAAAAATAACAAAAATAAAGATACTGCAACGAAGTATGCACAGGCTATGCCTATGATAGGTGCGCAGCGCCTGCTCTAGGTACACGCAGAATCTGGAGAAAGCACATGCAGCGTCTGGAGAAGGTACACGCAGCGCTTGGAGTAGGCCCACGCAACGCCCGGAGCAGATACACGCAGCACCCGGAGTAGACACGCAGCGTCTGGAGTAGGTACACGTGGCGCTTGAAGTAGGCAAACACAACGTCCGGAGTAGACACACACAGCGTCCGGAGTAGACACGCAGCGTCTGGAGTAGGAACACGCAGCGCTTGAGACAAACACGCTCAGCGGCCGAAGATAGCGCGGGCACTAATAGGTGGAGGCGTAGGCGTGGCTAGGCGACGACTTCAGGAGAAGGCTTGCAAGATCCCGAGGCAGTGCGGATAAAGCCTTTAAGAGGTGCTTCTCGTATCAAAGCTGAAGTGAGGACCTCTATCGGCCGATTCTTCGGCTTTTATACTTTTTGACGGATCTGGGATAAGAACGAGAAATTATTTGAAATTATTTAAATTAAAAGCAAATTTTTGTAAATGGCCAAGAAGAAAAGAGTATTTTTGAAGTAAAAACATCAGGCCGGTAACAATATTTGAATAAAAATTGCCACGACAACCAGATAAACAACGATGTCAAAACATGTCAAATTTTGGTTTTAAGCTCGTAATACAGAAACGGCAAGATTTAAGTGAAAAATGAGATATTATTTATATAGGAAAAAAGGTAGCGCAAGAGCGCGCACGAAACCCGAAATTGTAGAGTTACGGAGAACTAAATAAAAGATCGAAAAAAGGTAGACTCCATTGACACCGATTTAAAAAGTGCTGATAACGTGAAAATACGAAGTGAAAATGATTTGTTATTGTGTTCTTATGAATTAAAAATATTACAGGATCCTATGGAAATAAAGGTGATGCAAAATATCCAGTTTTGAGGTGAATGTAGAAAATCAAAAACAGAATGGAAAAATAAAAATAAAATAGTGTAAAATGATATGTAAGTATGTATGTAAGCATAACACTACAATATATATATATATATATATATATATATATATATATATATATATATATATATATATATATATATATATATATATATATTACTTTTTTATTCTGACTTTGATCCATGATGTTTTAAAAATGAAAAAAGTAGCAAAAAGATGTTTTAAAAGACATGAAGAAAATATTATACTCGTAATTGGTAACTGTTTTTAACCTGTTGTCTTGATAATATTGATTAAAATAATTTGCAAAGAAAAAGTATTTAATTGCAACTATCACATATGGTGACCGTGAGGCAGAGAATTTAACTTATTAAAAGTCCGGAATATCCGCTGTAGTTCGTGCTCAAATAAGTAAGTCTGGTTAAGATTATAATAAAATAAATAGTTTGGAGGATTTGAGTACATATATTAAATAAAAATGGAGACTGCAGCGGCGATTAAAGAGAACCGGGAGCGAGAGCAACTAAGAAGAATTTTCAACCGAACAGCGACGAAGCTGGAAGCTGATATAAAAGTCGAAAATTTCTCGCAAGTGATGATCGACATTGAATTTCTTAAGAGTAAGGTTGAGCGATTAGAAGTTTTGGATAAAATGATACAAGACCGCATGTTAGAAAGCGACAGTTATGATGAAGAATCTTTCGGTATTGAAATTGATACAGCGGATACGTATAAATACAGATGGCACATAATTAACAATCAGATAAAGACAGGTATGTCGTCAAAAATTTCTCTTGATACGGTTGAAGATTTAAAGCCATTCAGGAATTATAATTTACCTAAGTATGAGTTAAAGGAATTTGATGATAATCTGAAGAACTGGTTTGCTTATTGGGGCAAATTTAAGAAAATTGACGAAGACCACTCATTGTCTGGAGAGGATAACTATCAATACCTCCTTCAATCATTGAAGGAAGATAGTAACGCTCGAGTATTGGTGGAAAGTTTCCCTCCATCTGCTGAAAATTATACAAAGGCTATTGAACAACTCAAGGCAAGATTTGGACGGGAGGACCTTCCCATACAGGTTTATGTTAGGGAATTATTAAGTGTAGTTTTAAACAATAATAAAAAACAAGTATCTATTAGACTATTATATGACAAAATATCAACATATTTGATGTCTTAAGAAACGTTAGGTATTGATAAACAGAAATATGAAATTATTTTGTATCCCCTTGTAGAATCAGCAATTCCCGAAACAATTCTTATTGCTTGGAATAGATGTAACACTGATCCACCTCTTGGTAACCAATTGACAAGTTTATTAAATTTTCTTAAAAACGAAGTAGAAACAGAAGAGCGAATTAATTTAGCAAGGTCCGATTTTAATTGTATTGGTACTAATCACACTCTCCACGGGGAACAAAAAAGCAGCTTACCAACAGCAGCATCGTTAGTGTCAAATATAAAACCAAAGGAGTCAGATAAAGTATTCAATGTTATTTGCTGTTTTTTGTGACAAAAGCAGTCATACTTCTTTTGAATGTAGTAGAGCTAATAAGATGTCCCTAGAAGATAAAAAGGAGACAATAAAAAAGTAAGGTTGCTGCTACATATGTCTTAAAAAAAGGTCACATGGCTAATAAATGTAAAAGTTTTGTTAGATGTTTATCATGTGAAAAAAGACACTTTGTGATTTTATGTCCAGAAATTCATAAGAAAGAAAAGAATGGAACTATGAAAAATGTTTCGTTATGTGCCAGAACTAATATGACAACTTTGTTACAAACACTTATTGTCAATATCACCTATTAAAGAAAAATCAAGAAGGTGAGAGTTTTGTTAGACAGTGGTTCGCAAAGGTCGTATGTAAAAGCCAAAGTTGTTGAAGAATTAGGATTGAATGAGACTGGCACAGAAATAATAGATCACACATTATTTAGGGGTGTGGATCAGCCTGCTAAGGTATATAAATGCTTTGATGTTTTGGTAAGTAGCTTAGACAATAGGTTTTCTGTTAGAATCAATGCATTACAGCAGTCTGATTTATGTGGGCACCTGCCAAAAGTTAATAATGAAAAAATATTAGAGAAGTTACGGGACTTGAATATTGTGATCAGTGATTTTGATTATACAGATACTGAGATAAGTCTCTTGATTGGGTCGGATTACTTAGGATCCATTATACATAATGAAATGGTTATGTAAAGCTCATTTCATCAATCAATGTCTGTTCCCTAGACATATCTTAATCGCACCTTTAGAAAAATTTCAAACAAGTCTTCATATATTTTGTAATGCCAGTCTAACATCTTTTGCTGCATGTTTGTTTTTAAGAACAAAATTAAACGAACAGGTAAAAGTCCAACTAGTTTATCGAAAAATCGGGTAACCCCAGCTAAAAGAAAAATGTCTTTACCAAGACTAGAACTTATGGGGGCGCTCATTGCATCTCGGCTATATAAAGAGGTTTTAGAGTCAAGATTACTAACAAAATGTAAGGAATACAAGTGTTTATTTCTGGACTGACTCTGCTGTGTTGCTATCATGGCTAAAAAGACAAGCACATTGGAAACCATTTGTTTCCAATAGAGTGAAAGAAATATGCTCAACAACCAATTGTGACGATTGGTACCATCTACCAGGTGAGTACAATCCATCAGATCTTCCATCAAGAGGTTGTGACGAAAAGAAGCTTATGGAAAGTAAATGGTGGGAAGGCCCGGCATGGTTGAAGCGTAATGAGACGGATTGGCCAAAATTAAACATTATTAATGTTAATGAAGAGATTGTAGAAGCAGAAGTAACCGAAAAGGCCAAGGTTAAGACAAATGTCACAATAGAAACATTCAGTCAAAAATTGACATACTTTTCCAACCTCAGAAACAATTTATGGATTTTAAACCTAAGACGTCTTGTTAAAAGTGTTGTGTCCAAATGTGTTATATGTAAGAGATACAAGACAAAACATTACGAGGTTCCTGAAGCACCATTGCCATCAAACAGAGTTGAGGCAAATGTAGTATTGAAGTAATACTAGTTTTTACGGAATTTATCGCGTATATTTAACTTTTTTAACTTTTTAAATACCCGACGTTTCGAACGCTTTACAGCACTCATGGTCACGGGCAGATGTAGTATTCCAGATAACTGGTATAGATTTAGCGGGGCATCTCCGTTATCAAAGGAAATGTTATATAGTATTATTTACTTGTGCTACATATAGAGCAGTTCACCTAGAGCTTGTGGAATCTTTATCCGCAAATAGTTTCTTGTTACGTCGTTTCATAGCTCGAAAAGGCCGCATAAACATTATATATACTGATTGTGGTTCGAATTTTCAAGGTTCAGCCAATTTATTAAAAGAGGTTGATTGGGCAAAAGTCGAAGCAGCAACTAGCATAGTTCTACCAGAAATCAAGTGGCGTTTTGTACCTCCACGTGCGTCCTGGTGGGGAGGATGGTGGGAGCGCCTTATAAAGGTAGTAAAGGAAATGTTAAGAAGAACCTTAGGAAAACAATCTTTAACTTGGATTGAATTATCAACAATACTTTGTGACTGCGAAGCAATCATTAACAGCCGACCATTGACATACGTAGCAACAGCTGATGACTCTCTTAAACCACTTTCTCCAATGATGTTTTTACATCCCTTAGATAATAGTGAGATGCCTGATTTGGATCTGATTGATGCCAAAAATATAAATATTCGTTTACAATATTTAAACAAATTACGTGCAGATTTCCGACAACGTTTTAGAAACGAATATATTACTTTAATTTGTAGTAAAGATAGGTGTAAACAAAATTTACCGAAATTAAACGATATTGTTCTTATTGAAACTGACACTAGTCGGTTATATTGGCCATTAGGTATTATAAAGGAGTTAATTATAGGTGCTGATGGTAATCGTAGGGTTGCAAAAGTACCGACAGCTACCGGTGAATCGGTAAGAGCTGTACAAAGTCTTTATCCACTGGAACTGACAACAGTTACAAAGGAATGGCACAGGGCCAGTCCATCTAATAATAGAAGTAAGACAGTGACTAACCCTAACATTAAGGATTATAGTCCCCAGACGACTTTGAATTCGGACTTAATATCAGATTTCGAATATATTATTATACACATTTTTTTGTAGAAACATATATAAGTTATAATAATTAGGCTAAATTTTTCATGTTTAAATCTACTTATTATTCTTTTATTTTATTTTTAAGTTTCCATATCAAAGTCAAAATGGAATAAATTCGTCCATTTTTAACTTTCGCGTGTCCAGCATTTATGAACGATTCTTATTCTAATTTAAATAAATATATTTGTAATTTAAATGTTGTGTTAATACGTTTTGTTAAATACACATTTAGTATGTTTTTTTATATTTGACGTAGATACCTTTTAAAATATTCAGATAAAAATATCATTAAAATGTAATTGTGATATAATATTATGTAATATTATATTAAATAAGTAAATATAATATACAAAATAAATGACAAAATTTAAATATTGTTCTCGATATAATTTACCTATTTAACAATGTAATCTACTATTACCTACGGATCAGTCTATCTATGTTTATTCTATGATAAAAAAACCAACCGCGCGAACACAGAGTAGCGCACATTTTTTGTTTGAGATAGCTGTTCTAGTACGTAAGTACATAATACTTAATGACTCGTAATTGGTAACTGTTTTTAACCTGTTGTCTTGATTATATTGATTAAAATAAGAGTATTTAATTGCAACTATCACAAGTAGTTTTACTTGTTATTAAATAGAAAAACTGTCAAAAAAACAATTAAAAAATTTATTTTATAGTTTTTAAGAAAACAGAAAATGATTCGATTTCGATTTTCTAAGGTTAAATATCGATTCACTGGATCGATTCAGTACTGTATATAGATTAAAAATCGATTCTTTGATTAATCGATTTCAGATCTACATGCCTACACCCACCTTACACCCTACACCTATATCACAATCATAATTCTGTACATACAACTTTATAATTGTCATAATCGCACGTCACGTTGTTTATGCTTATGTTATTTTGAGTTTTCTATAATTTCGTAAAATAGTAAAGTTATTCTACATTCACGCGAATGATATTTAAATAATTTAGCAAAAAAAAAAGTTTGTGACGTAAAAACTATGTGCATGTGAACAAAGCTACAAACCTAACCTTGATTCTTAATATTTACTTCCTAAAAATATAATTATCATTTTTCATGCTAGACATACAAGCAACTCAACATTTCTCTGTTAGTTTGAATTGTATGTATTTTTACTGTTTTTAATGCTTTAAAAATGCTTAAGTTTGATTTTATATCACTTTTTATTATGTTCAAAATATACCTAATAAGAATTGAATCATGGATCATATAATTTATTTATGTAAGTTCACTGGCACATAAATATCAAGCATTTTCAGTTATCTAGAGTTTTTAATACCATTACTCTTTTTATATTCATGATTTCAATTTTATCTACTTGTTATTCAAATTTATCCGAGAAAACACTTGAAACCACTTTTCCCAGCTCTTACTGAATTTGCTTAAACAGTAAACTATACAACTCGGTCACATTATCACTGCTCCTCACTCGACGACGTCACACTCACGCCCACGTTATGATGTGCTAAATAAGCACCTCTAGAAATATGTTATATTTTACCCGACTGTGGGATGCAAATGTATGGGGTTTGGATTCAAGGATTTTCTAATTAAATGTATATTTATTAATTAATTAATGAATAACAATAAATAATTCAAGATTAGATCCTATGTATGGTTTTTGGTTTTAGTGATGGAAACTTAATAAAACCGTTTTGAATTAAAAAAATATCTTTTTGAGTTCAAAACGGTAACACTACTACTAAATTATTTATTCTTTAGGGGAATATTACTAAATTATTTATTCTTTAGGGATATAAGTGACAGTGATGATGATGATATTAAAAATGGAATTATTGATTACCAATTATATATATAATGATAATGACTAGAAATATTCTAGTCATCATCACCATTATCATAATAAACAAAAGATGCTAACCATACTGACACGATCGGGGCGAGCGCGGCATGATGAAGGGGGATGCAAGAGGAACATTGCATTTCAGTGAAGTGCAGAGATATTGTGACCATGTTATACAATTGAATCAATGTGTATCACTGCAGTATTCATGATAGGTACCAAAAGCTTGTTCTGCATAGATCAGACTGATGTAAAATGAATAATGTGATGTACTCTAGACTATATATAGGTCATGGATCATCTGAAACTTTGCGAATAAAAATAAATTAAAACTAATTATTAAAGTGTGATTCTTAAAATTAGTTTTACTTATGTATCTACTTAATGTACAAATGAAATGTAAAATTACCTTATTATATTGGATTTATATAAAATTTATATTTCTTTTTTTTTTATAAATATATTATTTATAATATATAAAAAATATATAGGTGTTTTAATGACTATTAGTCATAATAAATTTATGACTTCTTCATCTTATTTATCCCTGACATATACCCAAAACAGCGATAGGCAGAACTTTCAATGTTGCAAGTTTTTTATTATTATAACATTTGGTGACAAACATGCACACAGTCCACCAGACGGTAATTGGATTCCGTGGCCCATGGACATCCACATTAATAAGAATCATAATGCAAATGCGTTGGAATCTGTTGATTCCAGTAAAAAGGGTCTCCAGTTCTCTACACTCACCATACGAAACACAGCAGCATTACTCTGCTATTTTACGCTGGTATTCTGTGAGAGTGTGGTCCTGCCCTGGTTGAGCCGACCCATTTATGCTACAACTATAATATAGCTGCAATGTGGCTCTACCACATACTAAATATTATCACATAATTTACATTTTAATTTAAGTTTCACATGATAGGTAGTATGATCGTCAATTCACCTGCAAAGTTAAGGCAAATCCTATCTAAAATGGTGAAGACCTATGTCCAGCAGTCAATCTTTAAGGGTTGATAATGGAAAAAAATAACAGAACCTTTTGTATTTACATTTTATTCCTTACTTTCACTATTCTGAATACAGTTCACAGCTATGTATATATATATATATATATATATACTATACTACTATACTAAATGGACTAAGCAGCTTAGTCCATTTAGTACCATTTTAGTCTCTATCACATTATTAATGCTGCATTCTAATGCCGGTCTAAACATTTTACTTTGTACAGTATATATAGTTTATACGTGGTAGAGCCATGCTGCAGTTATATTATATGTATAGTTGTAGCGCGAATGGGTCGGCTCGACCGGGGAAGGACCACACTCTCACAGAATACCAGCGTGAAATAGTAGCTTAATGCTGCTGTATTTCGTATGGTGAGTGTAGAGAACCGGCGACCCATTTTACTGGAAACGAGGCATTCCATCTTAGTCCTCACGGGTGACAACACATCTGCATTTTGATTCGTAATCGAGGATAAATGTAGATGTCTATGGGCCACAGCAACCACTTACCATCAGGTGGACTGTGTGCTCGATTGTCACCCTATCCTATAAAAAAAAAAAAATATATAATACAAGATATTCTTTATATTTCCCTGTGTTGGCTTAACATATCTGAAGGATAATAGGATAAAATAGAATGTTGGATTCTTTTTCCCTGCACATGTCAATAATACCGCTTTAATTAAACTGAGCAGCATTACTGCAACTGCTGTTACTTATATTTGTTTTGCTATTAATTCACTTACTATATTTTCATCAAATATTAATATTTTAAGGTTAGTTCTATCAAGATATTTGTTCTTATTTTTAAATGTATTTAATAATAGAAAAATATTTACCAACAATATGTAATGATATTACGTCTGATATCTTTGCAACAACAAGATTATTTTCATCATATCATTGTATTTTATAAAAGGGTTGACAAATTCTATTATATGAACAAACACATTAAAATGTTGAAAATCTGAAAAAAATAGTAAGTACTACATTTGATATAAATAAGGACAGCATATAACAGAAAATTTGAGGAAGTTAGGGTACAACTCTAAATCCACTCTCGTTCGAGTATTATAAAGTATGGTGTCGGCGAGTAGCTTTGATCAGTCACCATACATCCATCCTATTTTAACACAAACCTCTGTAATAGTTTCCGCCATATTTTTCTATCAATTTGTGATGGCTCTGCTGTCGTGTTTCAATGGCGTAAATAAATCGAAGCCATAACTCTGTATATAAACAAAATGTAGCAAGTAAAATTTATAAAAATATTTTTTTTTAATATACTTACCATACTTTTTTCATATTCTTACATTGTCACGCAATTGTGAGCTATGTTCGAAATTCCAAAGCTCCAACTCATCGGAAAGATGGTTTAAAATGGTAGGTAGTTTTAAAAGATAGTTTTTAATTAAAATGTGGTAAAAATACCCTGTCCTATTTCAAAGGGGCACAAAAGTTACCCAATGATAACACCAAAAAAAATTAAATTAAAATAACATATTTTAAAAATATATATAAATGTAATTTTTATTTAAAAACATCGTTTTTAGTACACTTTTAAAACATATTATCTATTCAAAAGGAAGATTATCCAGTTTTTAGTAATGTAAAATAGTGTTGAAGCCTAGACGACTGACTATGAGTTCATTTTTATTTTCTATTACATTGAAACCTTATTGTGTACATACCCATACCAATACCAACTAGCAATCTGTCCCAGCTTTAAAGAGATGTTCCCTTCAGTTTCATTGTCAGTAAACATACAGATTAACAAATCCTATCTTATGTTTACATAAAGATTCTTATTACAAATTCAAAGGTGAAGGTCAGATTTTTTATATATTTCAAAAATGTTCTATTAAATGACCTTTTAATAAAGTATAACATGTGTTGTAATTTTATTAATTTCAATTAAATTAAATTGACAACCCTAGATATATTAGATAATATAATATTTGTTATCAGGACCCCTGTTGAAAAGGTCAAGTGACGTCCAGAGCAATCAGCACAATTTGGAGTTACAGAATCTTTATCGTACAGTTGGTTATTATAAACTGAAACAATACGACATGGCGACTAATGGAAAATTGGGTAAAGTTCTTTTACTTATTTTAAAAATATTTTATTAAAATGAAAAGACAAAATTCAAGTTTAAAAAAATACTATTAAGGTGATACCTCGAAAATTTGGTGGTTTTTGCTATTTCATATATTTTTTTAAGTTTTATTGATTACAAACCAAAATTTTGGTATATGATTTTTTACTATATGACCTTGGATTGCATAAAAGGAAAACACGATATCATGTAATTTTCCCGATAGAAATAATTGCAAAGTAGGCTCTAATTAGTTACATTTTCCATGACACTACAGTATTTTTACGAATAATTTCATGGAATTATTTTTAAGGCATAGTAAATAATCATATCTAAGTTCTCATAAACCATTTTTTAATTCTTAACAAAGTTTTGTTTTAAAAAATAAAAATGTTGTTTGGCGCTTCTTAGTTTTTTTCCGAGCGTGTGCTTTGTATAGCTATCTCATAATTTGCGTATTTTGAAGTCATTGCATCACTTTCATTTTGACACTCCCTCAGTCGTCCGTGAGCTTTATCGACAAAGGAATAAACCACACAACCAAAACTACTATTCATTTTGAAGGTATCCTCTTAATGCTATTAAAATTACTAATATTCCTTTTAACCACTCCTGGTAAGCTTGTGTCAGGAGTGGTTTTCCCGACAGTAGTCTAATGGTGGATTCGAACCCACAACTTTTGGATTTCGCGGTCAGCACTCTGCCATTGGGCTACTGTCGCTTCAAGTTCCTATTTTAAATAAGTAAAGTAAGCGATTATATTCCTGATGGATTTAAATAAGAGCCTTACCAGCTTCCCAATAAAATAATAACTGAGAAGTAGACAAAATTAATATTTAAAAAAAATTAAATTTACTCTTCCAATGTCTTGAAAATTGATCACCTTTAACTTAAATTTAATTTTATTCTTAATAATTATAAAGTTGTAAGGTTTATTTAACTGCAAGAAACTGTGACGTTAATTAATACTACCTCATATTTGTATTACTTAGAATTAATATGATGATTAAATAGAATTAGTTGTGTTACAAATCTGTTGCTTAATTATTTAAATATATTAGTTTGTGTTTTTTTTTAATATAAAAATTATTTTTTATTGAATAAAGGTCCTAACATAAGCGCACATGGTTCATCTAATAGTTACTGGATACTGTGGCCCATATTCACCTTACCATTACTAGTAAAAGGCTCTTCAATTCTCTATTTCCATACGAAACGCAACAGTATTAAGCTGCTCTATTTCGCTGCAATTCTGTGAGAATGTAGTCCTCTGACAGCTTGACCCATTCATGCTGCAACCATAATATAGCCGTAGCGTAGCTCTATCGTGTATCTACCAAGCGAAATACCAAGAAAATGTCAGGAAAACACATTGAGGTCTACAAGACAATAAAATAATCAAGTGATTAAATAATTATTTGAAATTTGAATATACAATATTGTTAATTTTGATTTGATTTCCCTTTAGCACACCTGTTATCTTCGCATGCAAGTAATGTTAATTTAATTTGTTATAGCACTTCTCAGCGTGTCTGATAAAACCGGCCTTTTACCGTTGGCAAAGTGCTTGTCGGACATCGGCCTCGGGTTAGTGGGCAGCGGCGGGACAGCGGCTGCCTTACGCAATGCCGGCCTTAAAGTATTGGACGTGTCGGATATCACCGGTGCCCCGGAGATGCTCGGGGGAAGGGTCAAATCTTTGCACCCCGCTGTTCATGCCGGCATTTTAGCTAGGTATGTACAGTATTACATATGACTATTTTCTGGTTACTAATTAGGGATGATGGGGATTTTTTCATCTGTGGATGCAAGTGCGTATGCAAATTTTCTAAGCCCACATCCACGGATACTGACCTCAAGTTTTTATAATATTTAATTAGTTTAAACAAATGAAAGCGATAGCATTTTTATATTATTTTCCATGTAATAACGAAATGTTTGGGTTAGGATTTACTTTTGTTAATTTTTGAGTTCCCAAGCAGATGACAGCACCCATCAATCTTCTCTATTGAAATTAGGATGTTGTTAATTTTAATAGCCTCGCGTATTATCGTTGTTAGGAATCGGTGTTCTTTTGCGAGGATTTGTGGTTTATCAAATCTGATGTAATGATGGGGACGATCTTGAACATGTTCACAGACTGCAGACTTCCCGGAACGTCGATGCTTCACGTCAGCTATATGTTCTTTCATGCGGATTTTTAGCGATCTTTTTGTTTGTCCTATGTAAGAGAGACCACATTCACAATCTAGCTTGTACACTCCTGCATCTTGTAGAGGAATATTACAATTGATGAACAATTGACTAATCTTCTTCGGCGGCTTGTAGTATGTTTTAAATCTAAAACGAGTATCCGTTTCAAGATTTAGCCAACATTTCTTGTGGCTTCTCTGACATATGGTAGTACAGCTGACAAACGCTCGACTGGGGCCGGCTTCACTCGATCACTGTGACGTAGGCGGTGGACCCAAAGCTTGTTGACTTGCAATACTTGCTTGACGTGCTGAAGCTCGGCGGCCAGATGTTATCTGTTATAGATCCCTTGTGCTCTCTGAAACAAAGATGTGATGGATGATAGTGAGATTCACCATTTAAATATCGGTTGGTATGGGTCTTTTTCCTATACACAGTGTGACCAATACTGTAATCAGTATTTCAAATGACTAAAACATCTAGGAAAGCTAAAGAATTATTTGCCTCTAACTCAATTGTGAATTGTATTGTAAATTTTATGGAGTTAAGGTGGTCTAAAATGCAGTTACTTTGTTGGATGGTAAAATTGTGAAAGTGTCGTCTACGTACCGCTTGTGGAATCTTGGATTTACAGAAGCAGTAAGAAGGGCTCTCTTCTTAAAGTCTTCCATGATTATGTCGGCGACTATGGGAGATACAGGTGAGCCCGTCACCACACTGTCTACTAGCTTGTAGAACTTCTCCTTCCACAATAGATAGTAAGATGTGAGGCAGTGTTCAAGTAATATTGCATATTCTTCGGCCATGTGGTTTTCTTCTAGCTTACTGGTGACAATTGAGATGCAGTCATCAATATACATACATGTAAATAGTGTCTAAACATCAAAACTGGCCATAGAGTCATTGTCAGCGAGATGTAGCTCTTTTGTCTGGTATGTTCTCTCAGCGGTGTCAGTATTTTTGCGAAGCATTGAGCCAACTTATAAGTCGGTAAATCTATCTGGCTCACTCATAACGTAGTGGAGCGTTTGGTTTGTGCATCTTCGGTAACCCATACAACCTCGGTGGTTTGGCACATCATATTATTATCGAATTCACGTCGAGATAAAAAAATTCGGAGTTTATTAAATCGCTAGTTATTTTAAGCGTATTAGTGTAGAGTCTGTTTTGTTCTTTCTGTATGTCCTTTCGTTCGATAAAAGTTGTTATATTTTAAAAATATACTCTGACATGTCCATTATTACCGTAGCATTTCCTTTATCCTCGCGCAGAATCGTGAGCCTGTTCCGTAAGTTATACAACGCTTCACATTCGTCTTTAGGAAGCACTTTTTGGTAAAAGGTTGCTTACATGAGGTCATAAGCGTATTTCAAAAAAATTATAGTTCTTAATTCCCGACTCTGAAATGTTCGTTATACATTTTTTTATTTACTGACAACCAATCATTTTATTGGTCTAGTTGGTCAGAGAACAGATGTAAACCTTATTACATTATTATTAATTCCCAGTGCAGTTATAAGGTTCTAACTAATATATCACCACTCACTATATTTGAAGAATATAATTCAGCGATTTATTACCGTTGCGCTGTGCACAAATGTTAGAGCTAGGCAACCGAGAGAGACAACTGCTGCTATAATAAATACACAGGATGGATTTTTGAGATGGGACAGTAAGGGCTGTTACCTTAACCGTTCTACATCTACAGAAGAAAGTTGTTAGGACTTATTCTTACCTTTGAACATATTTTTTCCTGAGTCTCTCTTCATACGAAATGTATGGGAAACATTTTTATGGGATTTCAGATATTTCTAGTACTCTGAATTTAGTTGGCCCGATAGAGACTTCAAACCTCATAAAAAGTTTTTGTGCCTATTTTCTTGCTAACTGTACTTATTTTCTGAAATGTATGATGCAGGTGTAATATGACCAAAAGTTAGTTAGTCTTCTAAGAATGTTTTCCTATAGCTGTATCGGTTAAGGTACAGTACAGCCCTTACTCTCCTGTCTGGTCAGTTGGGTTTTTGCACAACTAATATAGCCTATCTATATACTGGGTGACTATTTTTAACGTCTGGAAAATAATGTGGTATTTTGTGCAAGGGGAATAGAAGCGATGCTCGAAAGTATTTATTAAATATAACAAGATAGGCAAAACTTAAGGATATCCAAAAAAATACATAAAAACAAAAAATACGGCGTTTGCGTAAAACTACGTAGTACTATTATTTATTCTGTGGTAAAACTAAAAATAGGTTACGTTCACTAGTGAATAAAAGTTGTAAGAGCGAGAGAGACGCATGCACATCTTTAGTTATGTAGGTGCCAGGCGGCTGTGTGGGGAGCGGCTGACACATCGCTGCAGCCAACATTTTTAAAATCAGCTGACGCGCGCCTTATTACGTTACCAAAAAATAATTTTCTATGATAAGTATTTAGGCACTTTGATATTTATTTTTAATTTTGACTGCGTCGTTGGTCTAGTGGTTGTAGTATTATGACAGCTGATCGTGAAGTCCTGGGTTCGAATCGCAGGTTCCTCAAGAAATTCTCAGTAGCTGCTTAGAGTCAAGAAGGTGACGGTGTCTCACACCCGTGTCTCGGAAAGCACTAGGGTTTGGGTCCCGGGACGTCTCGTGTCTCGAAGTCCCGGGACTTTTCGTAATTTTAGTTGTCTCGAGTCTCGGGACTTTTTTTTCTCCCGGGACTTTGATTGTTGGCTATCTCGTGTCCCGGGACTTTGAAATTGTCGGGAATTCCCAAACCCTACTTAAATTTTCTTTCTGGGTCCCGACTTTGATTGTTGGCTATCTCGTGTCCCGGGATTTTGAAATTGTCAGGAATTCCCAAACCCTAGAAAGCACGTAAATCCGTTGGTTGGTGATGGTTTTTTCGCGTGGAATTAAAATGCAGATGTGTTGTTTCCCATGAGGACTAAGATGGAATGCCTCGTTTCCAGTAAAAAGGTTCTCTGGTTCTCTACACTCACCACACGAAACACAGCAGCATTAAGCTGTTATTTTACGAGCCGAACCATTCGTGCTACAACCATAATATAGCTGCAGTGTGGCTCTACCACGTGTGTTAGCCACTTGGTAACCCATAGACCATGATGGAAGGTTACTTGATTAATTGTTATCTATTTTTAACAGGCTAACAGAATCCGACCAGGCGGACATGAAGCGACAGAATTTCGACATGATCAGCATTGTCGTGTGCAACCTCTATCCGTTCGTTCAAACTGTGTCCAAACCTGATGTGACAGTAGCCGATGCTGTCGAGAATATTGATATCGGAGGAGTAACATTATTAAGGGCAGCAGCCAAAAACCATGACAGAGTTACTGTCTTATGCGACCCTGCTGATTATGATAAGATCATCGAAGAGCTGCAAAAGAACAAGGATCACCAGACTTCATTAGAAACCAGGTGTGCCATTTATTTAAACATGTTATAATAGGAGGCTCAAACAACCTTATTTTATTTCATTTTCTAATTTTAATCTTAAATTTTTTATTTATTATTATCATAAGATAACAATTCCTTTCAGAAAAAAGCTGGCTCTGAAAGCTTTTACTCACACATCGGAGTACGATCTTGCTATCTCGGACTACTTCCGTAAACAATATTCAGCTGGACAGTCACAGTTGACGCTGCGATACGGTAAGTTATAGCTTTTATGGAATTCCTTTAATACAAATACAGGGTGTTAGTGTAAACACCGTTATCCTTGAAACCAGTGGTTTGGTTTCACTTATAGAACGTAAATGCAATGAAAAATAACATTTTTTAAATAAAATCCCAATTTTCCCTTAATTCTTCAATTTTTGCCTGTCCTAAGCCAGGATGAAAGTATGAAGGAAAAGTTACATCACAGGTTATGTGTACCCACTGTATTTTTATTGGAATGTAGTGTAGGTAGCAAGCGCGGGCGGTGATCTTTACAGTGATTACGTCACTCGGGCGCATAGGATATCCATGAATTTACGGACGGTGTCGGACAGAAACTTTTCAAATTTTATGGAAGAAAATAGTGTTATTTTTTTTTTAAATTCATTGAATTTACGTTCTCTAAGTGAAACTAAACCACTGGTTTCAAGAATAACGGTGTTTACACTAACACCCTGTATAATTTGGCAAGATTTTTTATTTATTCAAGTAATATTTACTATTTTAGGAATGAACCCACACCAGAAGCCGGCACAAGTATTCACCACTAGAGACTGCTTACCTCTTACTACTTTGAACGGTTCCCCTGGCTTCATCAATCTATGCGATGCTCTCAACGCATGGCAACTTGTCATGGAATTAAAACAGGCTTTAGGCCTTCCCGCAGCAGCCAGTTTCAAGCACGTATCGCCAGCTGGCGCTGCTGTAGGCTTACCCTTGACTGAGGAAGAAGTGAGTAAACATATTTTTGCTGTTTATTTTTTATTGGATATATTGTAATCGTCACTACGACAGACATTGCATTTTCATTGAATAAGGAACTTTACGAGAGTTCAAATTATTCTGCAGTGCTCTGTAATAAAATAAAATAAAAAAGAAGTGACAACGCATCTGCAGCCCTCTGTGTTTGAAATTGGCTACTATAGCCATTTACCATTAGATGGACTGTAAGTTGCTATTTCAAGATTATAAAAACATGTTATTTGGACGATTGGAAGTGGATGAAAACTGAATTACAAAATTACATTACATTATTATATTATACAAATAACAAAGCCGTGTAAAGAAATATTTATTTAAAGAACACGCCAGTGTGCTTAAATTGACAGGAATGATTCTAAATCATTCTAATTTAATAATACGTTGTTAATTTTCACATCTTCAAAAGTTAACACCTTCCGTGCGCACGTGCACGCGCGCTCGCGCATGCACGTGCGCACACACATTTGCACGTGCGAACACATACACACACACACTATCATAATAATAATCAAAAAAATCATGTTTAATTTTGCCACTTTTCCCTTCCATTCCGCGAATCGTTTGACTTTCCTCGTATGAGTTTTAAAGAAAAAGGTAATAAGACTTTTCTTTACGTGAAATTAATAGATTTCCAAGTTGTATATTAACCATACTGCACACAGTTTTCAATAAATTATTAATAATAGCAAAACTCGATAGATGATTTTAAGTTAATTGAACTACTTGCCTAAATACTACTATTCTATATAAACATCTGCTAACAAAGTATTCTACACGAAAGAAGTTGCGGGTAAAAGCTAGTATCTATTTAAATTGATAATTGGTATATTATTACACACACACACACACACACACACACACACACACACACACACACACACACACACACACACACACACACACGCACACACACACACACGCACGCACGCACGCACGCACGCACGCGCGCACGCACGCACGCACGCACGCGCGCGCGCACGCACACACACGCACACACACCAATACATACTTTTAAAGATGCATGATGAGTAAATAACTGATTGGTGTGGATTTGATTGATAATACTAACACTAGTGTTTATTGTCAGACGTCAGTGTGCATGGTGAGCGACTTGGCGGGAAAGCTGAGCCCGTTGGCGTGCGCGTACGCGCGAGCACGCGGCGCGGACAGGATGAGTTCGTTCGGCGACTTCGTGGCATTGTCCGACGTCTGCGACGAGTCCACCGCTAGGTAACGAACTACGTTTTGCTTAGGGTACAAGTTACTTTTGTAAGTTTCTTTTGTCCGTCTCTTTATGTATCACTACAGAACGTAATTAGACAAACATTTTGCTGCATATTAATAATACATATATCTAATCGTAGAGAGAGAGAGTTTTCTATAATCACCAAACTTTACGGCGGATTAGCAATAGCATTACGACTAACGGCACATACCAAGGTCCCTACGGCCTTAACACCATACAATCTTAAAAGGCCTACTTGCCAACTTAAATACTATACAAAAGGAAACATTTAAATATACACGCGCTAGTCTAAAATTTCATAATATATCAAAATGTTTACGTGGTAGAGCCACGCTGCATCTGTATTACAGTTGTAACACGAATGGGTCAGCTCGACCGGGGCAGAACCACGCTCTAACAGAATACCAGCGTAAAATAGCAGCGTAATGCTGTTGTGTTTCGTATGGTGAGTGTAGAGAACCGGAGACCCTTTTTACTAGAACGAGTCATTCAACGTTGAACAGTCAACAACGCATTTGCATTTTCATTCTTAATTGAGGATAAATGTAGATGGCTATGAGCTACAGTATCCACTTACCATCAGATGGACTGTGTGCTCGTTTGTCAGACAATGCTATGAAAACAAAATCAGTTGGCATACTTTGAACATTCAACGCGTTATGCTTTAGAACTGAGTAACTTTTTCGGTTAAATTATGATATATTATCGTACCTTTGTCTTCACTTCTATTAGCCGCTCCAGTGTTACGGCTTCCGATTATGTTGTTTTTATCAAAAATAAAAGATTTATATTCCACCACCAGAATCATATCTCGGGAAGTGTCTGACGGCATCGTCGCTCCCGGATATACGCCCGAAGCACTCGAAATACTCAAGAAGAAAAAGGGTGGCAATTATTGCGTTTTACAGGTACGTGCGATTTATGTAATGTTAAGGACAAGGTCCCACTAACAGACGCGCCACCAATTAATATTTTTATTGTTAATATTGTAGTAAAAATCGGGTTATGCTTACTACATGTCGCTTATAGATAGTAATCCGACGGTCTCTTTAATATCGCTTGATGGTAAGTGATGACTAGTGATCGGATAGTCAGATGCATATTTACCTAAAGTTAATTTTTGTCCGGAAATTATGGAAGCGGCTTCTTAAAACTTTTTTTAAATATAAATTCTTCCTGGATTTATATTTAAAAAATATGTTTATATTTTTTAAAAAAAAATAATAATCCATCTATCAAAAATTTTATATTCCAGAAGATACGAAAACGCGAGAATAGTCTGTACTATGGTGAGGAAACGTCAACTATAGCATGTGGTATTTGTTTTAAAAAAACTGTGGGTGTTAATTAAAAAAAATTAAGAGGAAGTTATTATTTCTAATTTTTTATATAAAATATAAAATAAGTAAATATACCTACACCCGATTTGGCATTCTATAATAAAAACAGTAATAGTTATACAACACCTTAAAATAAGTAAATATATCTACACCCAATTTAATTCTATACTTAAATAACTAAATTTGTCGAATTTTTACAATTTTTTACAATGTGTTACAAGAGCTCAATTGAATGCATTAACTCTTTCATTTGTTTGTTTTGTACCGGTGACAGTAACAATCAGCGCGCGTGTCGTTTCGTGGCTAATAGCATCGCCCTTGAATTTTGAGACCGTTTGTACCCATGCTTACTGTTCATATTCGCTAACGCGTGCTCTATAGATATAGATTGATCATGTATACTTTAAGTAGACCGCCAAGCATCTCATTAGTGTGGATGTATTGCGAATTTTGTCGCGAGGTACCTTGTAGAATTTGGCCGCTGCCATTAATCCGAACAAAGCCTCCGAGTACTTCTTTTGATAAATGACATGTCTCTCCCTGATATATTGACCTTTTTTGTTTTTTGGGGGGGAGGGTTTTTGGTGGTTTTTTCTTCTTATCTAGAGACAATTAAAGTTAGAATAAAGCTACTACTCCTCCATTTTTAATTTTTAATGCTACAAAATATATTATACATTATATTTTTTTCTTAAAAAAATATTAACAATGCTATAAACATTACTAATATTCTCCTTAACCACTCGTGGTAAGCTTAAATTGCTTGTGTTACGAGTGGTTCACGCCAGTAGTCGAATGGCGGATTCGAACCCACGACCTTTTTGAGTTCGTTCGTCTGCCGTTAGGCTATAAATGTCACAATCATCATGCTTGTTAGGCGAATTGGGGGTCGCAGGTACAAATGTCGCGTATTTCATATTTAATCTTAATATTTACATATATCAAATACGAGATGTTATACTGCCATCTATCAGAGGCCAAGATATCTTTTTGACCTTTACCTAGTAACCTTTATCTATTAAACAAAAGATAATGGATTTTCTTACGCCGTTACAAGGCAAATGTTTTTCGAAAATTACTCACTTGACCGTGCAGTGGTGGTGTAATAATATCTACTTCCCCACATCATTCAAACGCCCACGCGTTGTAAGAGGTGACAGAAGTAAACAAAGCAGAAGAAGTTGCCAGCTTGGCAAGTGGGTTGGCAACCGCAGTTTTGTTCTAGTTGTTAGTATAAGGACGCTTGCCTATCTCCTGGTTGGTTTCCCACTATTGCCTCTTACGGCAAGTGTTGACCAATAGTCTCCCACTGGTAATGCAATGCCTTTACGTAGGTGAAGCAGAGCAGCATTACCAGTTCCACGTATTTACGTGAGAAATGAATACCACACAGATTGCTAATACGTAGTAGAGCCATGCTGCAGTTATATATACGTGGTAAAGCCATGCTGCAGTTATATATACGTGGTAGAGCCATGCTGAAGTTATATTAGTAGTATAGTTGTAGCACGAATGTGTCGGCTCGGCCGGGGAAGGACCATGCTCTCACAGAATATCAGCGTCAAATAGTAGCTTAATGCTGCTGTGTTTCGTATGGTGAGTGTAGAGAACCGGAGACCCTTTTTACTGGAAACGAGGCATTCCATCTTAGTCCTCACGGGTGACAACGTATCTGCATTTTGATTCGTAATCGAGGATAGATGTAGATGTCTATGGGCCACAGCAACCACTTACCATCAGGTGGACTGTGTGCTCGTTTGTCACCCTATCCTATAAAAAAACAGATTGCTAATACGTGATCATAATGAACCAGTTAAGAACATTATTAAATGGCAAAATAATGCCATGTTGCAGATGGATCCAGCCTACACTCCAGCATTGATGGAGCAGAAAACAATTTTCGGTCTCACATTGGAACAGAGGCGAAATGACGCCAAGATAACTGCAGATTTATTCAGAAATATTGTTACTAATAAAAAGGAGTTACCGGAGAGTGCTGTGCGAGATCTAATCATAGCTACCATCGCACTGAAGTACACTCAGAGCAACTCTGTGTGCTACGCTAGGGATGGACAGGTAATATCTTTTATAACTTCTTGATCAGTACAGTAGCAGTTGACCATTAAACTCAAACTAATTAAGATTTATCATAATAACTACGCTTAACAAACAAATTGGCGGTCTTAGTACCAGAAAATACATTTCTCACTTCCACATTCCCCCTTTTAACTGATTTTCATGCATTGTAAGTTTTGGAGTCTTAATTGGTTTTAAAATTTCCACCAGTCAAAAACAGATTAACATATTATTGTTTTAACATGACCACCACACGGCAAAAGTAATATTTAAATCTAACAACCAACTCTAAATAATAAAGTTCATTGAAATGTAATGATTATTTTCATGTCTATTTGTGCATATATGTACCATGCGGTTGACCACAAGCAAAAATATTATAAAATGTAGCACTACTTCTTCTCATTTGTGGCTCTCAGTCGCCCCGTTTCTATTCGCACTGTGTAGTTTGGCTCCCAAAAGTGGCAAGTATGGCAAATATAACCCCAATCAGGGTATCTATGAGGGAAACCCTATCTTCAGCAGTGGATAGGATGTAATAGTAGTAACCTATGCTGTTGTTACGTCGTTATACTTAAATAAATAAATTAGTACATGATGGAGTCATATTGCAGCTATACTATGGTTATAGCACGAATAGATTAGCTCGACCAGGTAAGACCCACGCCCTCACATAATACCAGCTTAAAACAGCAGTTCAATGCTGCTATGTTTCGTATGGTTAGTGTAGAAAACTGGATACCCTTTTTACTGGAAACGAGGCATTCCATGTTAGTCCTCTGGAGTGGCGAATATGCATTTTAATTCTTAATCGTGGATAACCATCAGGTTGACTAATTGTTCGCTGTGAACTACGAAATTTTGTGCGCTGTGGTAGTGTCATTGTGTTGCAACTTGTCAGGTGGTAGGCATCGGTGCGGGGCAGCAGTCGCGCATCCACTGCACGCGGCTGGCGGGCGGCAAGGCGGCGCTGTGGTGGGCGCGCTGTGGTAGTGTCATTGTGTTGCAACTTGTCAGGTGGTGGGCATCGGTGCGGGGCAGCAGTCGCGCATCCACTGCACGCGGCTGGCGGGCGGCAAGGCGGCGCTGTGGTGGGCGCGCTGTGGTAGTGTCATTGTGTTGCAACTTGTCAGGTGGTGGGCATCGGTGCGGGGCAGCAGTCGCGCATCCACTGCACGCGGCTGGCGGGCGGCAAGGCGGCGCTGTGGTGGGCGCGCTGTGGTAGTGTCATTGTGTTGCAACTTGTCAGGTGGTGGGCATCGGTGCGGGGCAGCAGTCGCGCATCCACTGCACGCGGCTGGCGGGCGGCAAGGCGGCGCTGTGGTGGGCGCGCTGTGGTAGTGTCATTGTGTTGCAACTTGTCAGGTGGTGGGCATCGGTGCGGGGCAGCAGTCGCGCATCCACTGCACGCGGCTGGCGGGCGGCAAGGCGGCGCTGTGGTGGGCGCGCTGTGGTAGTGTCATTGTGTTGCAACTTGTCAGGTGGTGGGCATCGGTGCGGGGCAGCAGTCGCGCATCCACTGCACGCGGCTGGCGGGCGGCAAGGCGGCGCTGTGGTGGGCGCGCTGTGGTAGTGTCATTGTGTTGCAACTTGTCAGGTGGTCGGCATCGGTGCGGGGCAGCAGTCGCGCATCCACTGCACGCGGCTGGCGGGCGGCAAGGCGGCGCTGTGGTGGGCGCGCTGTGGTAGTGTCATTGTGTTGCAACTTGTCAGGTGGTAGGCATCGGTGCGGGGCAGCAGTCGCGCATCCACTGCACGCGGCTGGCGGGCGGCAAGGCGGCGCTGTGGTGGGCGCGCTGTGGTAGTGTCATTGTGTTGCAACTTGTCAGGTGGTGGGCATCGGTGCGGGGCAGCAGTCGCGCATCCACTGTACGCGGCTGGCGGCGGCAAGGCGGCGCTGTGGTGGGCGCGCTGTGGTAGTGTCATTGTGTTGCAACTTGTCAGGTGGTAGGCATCGGTGCGAGGCAGCAGTCGCGCATCCACTGCACGCGGCTGGCGGGCAGCAAGGCGGCGCTGTGGTGGGCGCGCTGTGGTAGTGTCATTGTGTTGCAACTTGTCAGGTGGTGGGCATCGGTGCGGGGCAGCAGTCGCGCATCCACTGCACGCGGCTGGCGGGCGGCAAGGCGGCGCTGTGGTGGGCGCGCCGCCATCCGCGCCTCGCCGCGCTACGCTTCCGCCCCGGCGTGTCGCGCGCGGTGCAGTCCAACGCCATCGACAACTTCGTCAACGGCACCGTCGGTGAGCACGCACCTTACACCTTAGTCTCAATTCACACTGCTGCGAAACGGAATAGAAGCGAATTTTTTTAATGAAAGTTTATAAAAAAATAAAAATAATAAGTGTAAATAGTGAAATGAGTCTTATGTTCATTATGTAACAGGCAAACTATTCCCGTAGCTACTGTCGGTGAAGTCTGTGGAATTCGCGGGAAGTGGCGCGAAGGGCGTGGAATCTAGACTAACTTTTCTGCAGCCCCAAGGCGACTGTCGTATAGGTAAAAGGCGAAGTCGCGGGAATGCTCCGAGCATTCACGCGCGTCGCGGTGAAATTGACGTTTCCGTTCCATTCCATTCTGGCGCAATATAAATTGAGCCTAACACAACCTACGAACGGGATAAACGATTAAAATACACTCATTTTTGCCAAAGGTTTCGATATCATTTGAATAAAAACTGCACCCTATTCAATATATTGTTTTATCATATAAAAAGTTTGTCCCCCATTGCATTGTTTTGTTTTCTCGCACTCAGTACTGTTATATGCGTCGTTTGAGACCTTTAATTGAAGAATTTCCTGCACTTAAACTGTGACGAAGACGACTAGTATAAATATGTGGTCATTAATTTGTACACATTTTGATAATACTTTATGTAGATATAAATGATGCATACAACACCCATGTATTTGGTTATATTTTTCAAAGTGTATCCAAATTTAATATTTAAGTTCAAATATATTAATACTGATGAACTGATGATATACCGTTTTGGCAATTTTTCCAAATACGAGTAAATAAGGCACCTACTTTCATTTGAACTTATTAATCTGTATAACTTCCAAATTGATATATGGGTAACAATCACGCAAAATACACGCTTAGACTTGGATTTACGAAAAACAGCCCGTCGTTTTCTATCTATCTATGGGTAACAATTACGCGTTCATGCGCTCCTGTATGATGTGCGATTCAATTCATAAAGTTTTTGTCTACTTTTTACTTTCTTAGTGACACGCTCACTACTAATGTATAAGTAATTAATGACTACACGACGCGAATTATGATTCCAATTTTCCCTACACACTTTTAACTCGGGTCGATGATCCTCATCATAATAAATAAAATTATAAAAATATTTTTGCTTATCAACGACGTAACCGATGTCTGTCATAATAATGGCGTTTTTAAAAAAAAATGGAATAAATAATTTACAACTAAATTATGCAAGTAGTCAAAATAACTAATATTGATAACTCAAACCTCGCTTTCCTCAATTTCCCTCCATGCATAGTGTTGCACGTTGCAGAGCACGTTTTGTTAAATTACATTTTACACTTATTAGCTGTGTATAAGCACTTCTAATTTCCACCAATGCCGGAATCATTTTGCTGCGGTGGTCTTCATAACTTTGGGCCTCTTTGACGTAAACACAACTCTTTATTTCATCCCACAGACAAATTTTAACAATGAAAAGTCCGGCTAGTTTGCATGCTATAGTATAGAGCCTCCATGCTCAATCCACCTATCTTCATATTCACTATTTAAATGATCGCTCACTTCACTTGAATAGTTTGATTAGCTGTCAATAGTACTCTGATTTGTAGGTATACGTCACATCAAAACGGTATAGGGATATTTTAACAACACATGGATTCCAAAGAGTATGTCAATATTTTCTTAAGACATGTATACAGGGTTAGTTTTCAAGGAGTAGACAAATTTTAAACCTATTTTCATATATATAAATAATGATATACCGTAATTGCAGTTCTTAAGAATACGAGTAAATAAGGCTTCTACTTCTATTAGAAATTATCCTAAATTGAATGTGATTTATGGACAACAACGAACTTTTGCGTAAAGATCGATCGTTACCAATGTGTGCGTGCGGAGTAAAATCAGTTAAAATAATGCATTGCCACGCGTTTTGAATTTAAAAGATAAATGTTTGAGATTTATAATTTATTTTCTTCACCATTTGCCTATATTACTTATTCTGAACCTTCTCTACAAATGTGGCCGGTTATTGGAAAATAACCCTGTATATCCAAGAAAAATTTATTTCATAATCTATTCTTATATACATTTCATTTTCATTTTATTAAATTTCTTATATACATTGAGTTTATATGAAAGATTTTAGATTTTTATGCAACAAAAAAAAGCACGTGTGAAAAAAAAAAGTAACGTAAAAACCTTATAAGATCAGCTATTAATTAAGAGTTAATAAGGGTGGATGCCCCTAATTCCAGCTTTTTCGCCTTTTTACTTCATGAATAAGGTTTAACCTTTACTAGAGCAAAGTGTATTTTGAATATTACAACACAGTTATAAAAGTATCAGTGTTAATTTAAATATTAAAACACATGCTCAACGGAAAAGTTAATTTTCCAAATTTTTTGACAAGTTATGGTTGCGATAAAATTAATATTATTTTACATTATCTCTTCTTAAGAAAACAGAAACTTTTTTATTCAATATAGATTATAAACAATACTTATTGAAAGTCACTTTTTTTCTTTTACAACTGGTTCGCAAAAAAAACCTCTGTCCTGGGAAGAACCAGCAAGAAACCCAGCGGGACTATTTTTTTTTTCAAATAATAGCCTAAAATCATGTATGTTACAATTAACAACACAAAACCAATTAGAAATATATATAAATCAGCATTGCTGAAGCGGCAAATTGCTGCAGAAAACTTGAAACATACCTACTGGAAATACATAAACTTAAAAGAATTTTTTTAACATTATGATATAAACCTTATAAAACATCCCCGTGTATTATAAACTGAAAAATCACATGCACACACACACACACACACACACACACGCACGCACGCGCGCGCGCGCGCGCACGCACACACACGCACGAATGCAAGAATTATTAATTAATAATTATGAAATTTCACAACCATACCATGTTAAATTCCAATGATAGATGAGTAAATGAAAGAGGTTATTGGGGAACTCGAAATTCTCATAACACCCGTGTAACATCTCAGGGAAGAAGGAGTGCCTGAAACCAGCGCTTCATGGGATCTAGTTCCATGTAAGCAAAAGCTGAGTCACCTCCGTTTGCCTAAATTATCATCATCATCATTATCATCATCATTACAGCCCTTCACAAGTCCACTGCTGAACATAGGCCTCCCCCAAGTAATGCCACAAAGCACGGTCCTGAGCCACCTGCATCCATCGACTTCCTGCATGTCTTACCAGGTCGTCACTCCATCTAGTGGGGGTCGCCCTACACTACGCCTACCGGTACGAGGCTGCCACTCGAGAACCTTTCTTCCCCATCGGTTATCGGTTCTTCGAGCTATATGGCCGGCTCATTGCCACTTCAGCTTACTAATCCGTTGGGCTATGTCGGTCACTCTGGTTTTACTGCGGATATCCTCATTTCTGAGTCTATCACGCAGAGAAACTCCGAGCATAGCCCTCTCCATAGCTCGCTGAGCGACCTTAAGCGTCCTCATACGGCCAGCAGTGAAGGACCACGTCTCAGATCCGTAAGTCATCACTGGCAACACGCACTGGTTGTACAATCTAGTTTTTAGAGATTGAGGTATACCTGACGAAAAGATATGCCGTAATTTCCCGAACGCTGCCCAGCCGAGTTGAATCCGTCGATTGACCTCTCGGTCGAAGTTGGACTTACCTAGTCGGACTATTTGTCCCAGGTAAACGTATTCGTCAACAACTTCGAGCATAGTGCTCCCAACAACTACCGGCATAGGTGTGACATGGACATTGAACATGATCTTTGTTTTGTCCATGTTCATCTTAAGACCTATCCGTTGGGAGGCACTATTGAGGTCATTGAGCATAGTGCTTAAGTCCTCCAGCGATTCTGCCATAAGGACTATATCGTCGGCAAATCGAAGGTGAGTGATGTACTCGCCATTGATGTCAATACCGTATCCTTTCCAGTCCAGTAGCTTGAAAACGTCTTCCAATGCAGCGGTGAAGAGTTTCGGGGATATAACGTCACCCTGTCTTACACCTCTCTGCAGTTGGATAGGTTTCGAGCTCTGGTTCTGTACTCGGATAGCCATCGTAGCCCTACTGTACAAACACTTCAGCACTTCGATATACCGACAGTCAACTTGGCACCGCTGAAGGGACTGTAGCACCGCCCAAATTTCGACGGAATCAAAGGCTTTCTCATAGTCCACATACGCCAGGCAAAGTGGCAGATTGTACTCTTCAGTCTTCTGTACAATCTGCCGCAGGGTATGTATGTGGTCTATGGTACTGAAGCCTTTTCGGAAACCGGCTTGTTCGGGAGGCTGGAAGTCGTCAAGTCTGCGTGCGAGACGATTCGTAATGACTCTCGAAAACAGCACGTAGACGCGGCTCAGAAGGGAAATCGGTCTGTAGTTCTTTAAGAGAGCGTTGTCGCCTTTCTTAAAGAACAAGACCACCGCACTTCTGCTCCACGCCTCTGGAGTAGTGCCACCATGGAGGACGGAATTGAAGAGCTTCTGAAGGACTTCAAGTACCGGTGTTCCACCCGCTTTCAGAAGCTCCGCTGTAATTCCATCCTCGCCTGGGGCCCTGCCGTTTTTAAGGTGCTGGAGAGCCATTCTAATCTCGCTTAGACTGACGTCCGGGATATCATCGGAATGCCTAAATTAAATTAAGATTAAATAATTAGTTTATATATAAACATGTTTTTTAAAAGTGGCAATAAAATGATATTTATTTATTATTTATTTAAATAGCTAGGTAGCGATCACCCTTCCCAGGGGTTATTATTATCCTAATACTATCATATTAATGCAGTTAATTTTGTTTAAATTAATATTTTTTTTAAATTCTTTTTAAATTTGGAAGTTAATAGGGCTGTAATTAGATATATGAAACGAATGGAGTGCACAATGTGTTATTTGATTTGACGTACCTAATAAGAAATACCTAATTTCAGTTACTTGTTTAGTGTTGAAATAAAAATCGAAATGCTAAAAACTAAACACTATATTATACCTCCAAAACTTATCTACAATAGGTACCCACCAAAAACTCAACTTAGATACACAAAAGGACGACATTTTGTACAGGGTGAATTAAACTTGAGCCATAACGCCTTTTTTGCGTATCGTCCTTTTTGAAATTGTTCTTAAAATAATATGATTGTAAATGAATGTTTAACATTTTTGGGTAAATAACCTATCGATTAAAACAAAATTTTAAAACATTGTGGTATAATTACACCAGCAGTAATTTTTAAACAAGAAATTGGCACTAAAATGCTGGTAATATCTAGTATCAGTAAAAGCACCCATGATATTAATTACGCATCTGCATCGGTTGGGCACACTCAGAATGAGGTTGCCCATATTCTGTTGAGTAATATTGTCCAAGGTCCTATTGAGATGCATAGAAAGTTGTTCTTCTGTAACCAGATTTTCAGGAACATCCATCCGAGCTCTTCTTTGCATATCCCAAGCATGCTCAATGGGATTTAAATCTGGGGATTGCGCTGGCCATTCAAAGGCCGTGACATCATGTTCGTGCAATCAGGCTGTTACCACCCTGGCTGAATGTGAACGGGCATTGTCATGCATAAACAGGAAATTTTGTTCTAGCAGCTCATTACGGTATTTTGTGCCGTCATAGTACTCTGTATCCAAAAGAGGTCCGATTTTTTTTTTATATAAGAAAAGGTTACAAACGAACACACGGTTCACCGGATGGTAAGTTGTTGCTATGGCTCATAGATAACTAAATCTATCCTCGATCATCATCATCATCATCATCATTACAGCCCGTCACAAGTCCACTGCTGAACATAGGCCTCCCCCAAGGTATGCCACAAAGCATGGTCCTGAGCCACCTGCATCCATCGACTTCCTGCATGTCTTACCAGGTCGTCACTCCATCTAGTGGGGGGTCGCCCTACACTTCGCCTACCGGTACGAGGCTGCCACTCGAGAACCTTTCTTCCCCAACGGTTGTCGGTCTTCGAGCTATATGGCCGGCCCATTGCCACTTCAGCTTACTAATCCGTTGGGCTATGTCGGTAACTCTGGTTCTACTGCGGATATCCTCATTTCTAAGTTTATCACGCAAAGAAACCCTGAGCATAGCCCTCTCCATAGCTCGCTGAGCGACTTTGAGCGTCCTCATACGGCCAGCAGTGAAGGACCACGTCTCGGTTCCGTAGGTCATCACTGGCAACACGCACTGTTTGTACAACTTAGTTTTCAGGTTTTGAGGTATACCTGACGAGAAGATGCGTCGTAATTTCCCGAACGCTGCCCAGCCGAGTTGAATCCGTCGATTGACCTCTCGGTCGAAGTTGGACTTACCTAGTCGGACTATTTGTCCCAGGTAAACGTACTCGTCAACAACTTCGAGCTTAGGTGTGACATGGACATTAAACATGATCTTTGTTTTGTCCATGTTCATCTTAAGACCTATCCGTTGGGAGGCACTATTGAGGTCATTGAGCATAGTGTTTAAGTCCTCCAGCGATTCTGCCATAAGGACTATATCGTCGGCAAATCGAAGGTGAGTGATGTACTCGCCATTGATGTTAATACAGTACCCTTTCCGGTCCAGTAGCTTGAAAACGTCTTTCAATACAGCGGTGAAGAGTTTCGGGGATATGACGTCACTCTGTCTTACACCTCTCTGCAGTTGGATAGGTTTCGTACTCTGGTTCTGTACTCGGATAGCCATCGTAGCTCTACTGTACAAACACTTCAGCACTTCGATATACCGACAGTCAACTTGGCACCGCTGAAGAGACTGTAGCACCGTCCAAATTTCGACGGAATCAAAGGCTTTATCATAGTCCACATATGCCAGACAACGTGGCAGATTGTACTCTTCGGACTTCTGTACAATTTACCGAAGGATATGTATGTGGTCTATGGTACTAAAGCCTTTTCGGAAACCGGCTTGTTCGGGAGGCTGGAAGTCGTCGAGTCTGCGTGCGAGACGATTCGTAATGACTCTCGAAAACAGCACATAGACGCGGCTCAGAAGGGATATCGGTCTGTAGTTCTTCAAGAGGGCGTTGTCACCTTTCTTGAAGAACAAGACCACACTTCTGCTCCACGCCTCCGGAGTAGTGCCACCATGGAGGACGGAATTAAAGAGCCTCTGAAGGACTTCAAGTACCGGTTTTCCACCCGCTTTCAGAAGCTCCGCTGTAATTCCATCCTCGCCTGGGGACTTTCCGTTTTTAAGGTGCTGGAGAGCCATTCTAATCTCCCTCAGACTGACGTCCCGCCGGGTTTTTTTTTTTTATATCATCGGAATAGTGTCGGATAAGAATTGCTCTTGGATCGTTACTCACACTTGCGTGTGGCTCCAACGATGATGTGTACAGCTGTCCATAGAACCTCTCAATCTCACTCAGAATCTCAGGTGTCCCGGAAACGATGCTGCCACTCTCAGTCTTCAGTTTTGACAGTTGGCTCTTACTGGCAGACAGATCTCTGGCAAAGACTTTGGAGCCCTGGTTCCGCTCGATCGCTTCTTCAATACGAGCAGTATTGAAGTTGCGCAAGTCTCGCCGCATGCATTTGGAGATCTGTCTGTTCAGTTGCCTGTATGCTGTCAAATCTGTTGACGATTGCAGCCTCATCTCCCGTCTAACAGCCATGAGATTAAGAGTGTGATCGGAGAGTTTTTGTGTTCTTTTGCGGCGGGTCTTGCAGAACTTAGCTCCGACCGCATGGACAGTTTCCACGAGATTGTCATTCATATCGTCCACTGCATTGCAATCTTCTAAGTACTGAACTGAACGAATCAGAACTGAACTGAACGTGAACGCACGCGCGCACGCACGCACGCACGCGCTCGCGTGCGAAAGTATTTGCGCTTACGTATAAATTAGTTTTTAGTTATTTAAATAGTTTTTTTCTTCTTTTTTATTGTAACTTTCATTACAAAAACAATAACTTTAAATCGTATTGTCGCACGAAGTGTACTAAAGTTAAAATCTACTCCATGTGTGTTTCATAGCCATGACTCATAATAATATAATTTCCTTCAACAGGATCAGATCTTCCGCTAGAGCAATGGAATACATTGTTCGAGGGTGAGGCTCCTGCTCTTCTTACTGAAGCCGAGCGCGATGACTGGCTTAGGAAGTTGGACAAAGTCGCACTTGCTTCCGACGCTTTCTTCCCATTCAGGGACAATATTGATAGAGCTGTCCAGGTTAGTAAACTTATATGTTCTTAATTTTTCTGTTTTAATTATTTCTTTCCTGGTTAGACCACAGTGGTAATCAATATTTTATACAGTTAACATGCAATAATTATTAATTGCCTAGCCATTTAATTCCGTTTTTTTAAATGAAAATGAATATGGGTAATACCTTACTAAATAAACCTAAAATCATCTCAAAACATGTATAAAATAGTAATTCAACTTATTATTGTTCTTGTAAAACAATTACAGGCCTACCACTGATAGAATCGAGTCCTATATTACTCCCGAAACCATAGATAATGTTATGTACTGGAGACCCCAAAATCAAAGCTGAAGCGCGCACAATCGAATAATTGTTTATAATAAGAGAACTAGTCTTCAGCGACAGTAGCCCAATGGCATGGTGCGGACTGCGAACTAAAAAGGTCATGGGTTCGAATCCACCGTTCGACTACTGTCGTGAACCGTTCCTAAGACAAGCAATTTAAACTTACCAGCAGTGGTTAAAGGGAATATTAGCAATGTAATAGCATTTGATAGCATTGCTAGTATTTTTTTAATTTCGGGTCGGTAGCGTTTATGGCGCTCCGGGGTTAATTTTGCAGAAATCAAGAATTTATATGACTTACAAATATTTGTCTTTGTGCAATTTATGTGAAGTAAACTTTTAAAAACAAATGAAGAAAAACATCTGGGTATATCTGAGTAAATTATTTTTACGGATTAGTAAGTTGAAGTGGCAATGAGGTGAACATATTTAGTTGCATTCTATAGGCAATTGTTTTTGCAATTGTTAGATATGTACATGTGAAGGTCTATAATGATGATGATAATTTTTTATAGAATAAGGATGTCAAACGAGCATCAGTACAATCAAAACAGATGCTGTGGCCCATAGATATCTTCATATATACTCGATTAAGTATCAAAATGCAAGCATTGTCACTCCTGAGGACTAAGATGCACTGCCTGGTTTAGTATTAAGCTGATAGTAGTAAATAAAGTTAATATTTAAAACAAAAGCCCTTCTACTCGGTGGAGGAGTATTTAAATAACAAAAAATAACACTATTATGCATTTTTATACTTGTCTAGCTTCTAAGTATATTTTGTATTTAATGTATTAGCAGTGTCCTCGTCAAATTTGCAGTGCCTGAAAAGGGCGTCTAAGGTGTAAGCACATTTTTAATTTAAGACCACTTATGTGCATTTCGATTGCAAATAAATCATTTGGTTTGATTTATTTTACGCTGAAATTCTGTTAATGCGTAGCGCTTTCCCGGTGAAACCGACTCATTCATGCTATTACGCATAATACAACTGTGGCTCTATAAAATTCTTGATAGATGTTTTCCCTCTTGACAACATTAAGCTTGTGGAATACAAAGAACAATAATAATATTCATGTCTATTTTCCTTCAGTGCGGAGTCGAATACATTGGCAGCCCGTCGGGCTCTAACAATGATCAAGAAGTCATCGAGGCGTGCAACGAACATAACATTGTTTTATGTCACACTAACCTAAGATTGTTCCACCACTAAATTTTTATCTGGTTTTGGAATTTTGAATCTGTTTATGTTTATACAAGAAATTTAAAGAGTTAGTTTTTGTAGTACAAGGTTTATAACAAGAATTTAAATCTACTGATTTATATCATGCATTTTAATATAATAGTTTGTAATACCTATTATAAATCTCTGTGAAATTGATGAGATAATGTTATTACTTTCTAATATAAATGTAAATTATGTCAGATTTAAATGTACATAGTTTAGAAATATACACACAACAATTAAGTTCTATATATTTGTATGTTTTAAATTTGTTTAAAACTGTTAAGAAAACATTTTGCGGAAATATGTTTTATGTAATATACTGTGCATAGGTGTTAAAATATGCAATTATAATATTATGTAAAAATTAAAGTTTTATATAAACCGACTTCAAAGAACTAAATAGCATAAAATAATTTCCACATAATTAATTTATTAATCAGTTGAACCTTTTGTGTGGACTAAAGAATATCATAAGCTAAAACAACAAATAAAAAACAAAAACAAGTTGTTGTACTTTTAAAAACTTTGTCACTTATTTTTCTACCTCTTATTACAGAAATAATAATGTAATGATTTCTTAAATTTACGCGAACACTTTAAATAAAACTACTTATACGGATTTTATCGCATTTATTTGACTTACTATTTTTAATTCCCAACGTTAGTTCCCGATTTTACCACGTTTAATCAATAATTTAATTAAACGAGATAAAATCCGTATAAATAGTTTTATTCAAAATAATCATAGTCAAATTGAGTACTTGCTCTTGTTTTGAAGTCGGTTTATAACCGTTAAAATGAAAAAAGTGTCCTTAGTATATTGTATAAGCAATTATACGTTCCTTTAACTCACTAGTAGTTAGAAAATTTGCCCTTTATAAGCGTAAGTTGCCATTTTACAAAATAAAAAATTTCTGATAACCATTCGTTTTATTTTATTTTTCGGATGGTGAAATATATTCTCTGTTCTTCTGTTTTGTCATTCCGTTTGTGGCGTACGAATGAAAAAATATTTTGCTTCGATAAACAGCGGATACACCAAGTCGTACAATCTAAATAAATACATCTGGCATTGATATGTCTGATGTAAATATATAAAAATAAAAATCAAATGATAAAAACAAAATATCCTCTATTGTAGAAGTGGCAGGTTACCGCATAGAGTACTATTTGTGTATGTATTGTAATATTCTATGGGTTTCTAGCTGTTTACTTCTAGATGATGACACTGTGATCTAAAATCTTGAAATTAGGCGCTACCATGCAATATAATGTACAGGTATGCGTTAAATTTATATGGTGACGAAATAATCGCTGTAAGTCCTTTAGGATAGGTTTGAGTAATATTAAATTTTAATAAAAAAGCTATAGGTACATTTTTAATTAAATAAAAAAAGAGTATTTTAGATATAATAAAGGAATGAGTCATTAACAAAATGGTTTTAAACATCGGTTTCTTTCCAAATCTATACTAATAATCTATATAATAATTGTCTATCAATGAATATTGTTTTAAAATTTAGATAACCCTTTTAATTGAAAAGTATTTCATAACTAAATCGTGACTTGGAATATTTATTCTTTTTGCTTTTTGTTTTCATCGGTATATCTATCATATTGTACCCTCCAGTAGAGAGTAATAGTGTTGTGTGCTTTATTTGATCAACGCATGTAATTCTTAAACTGAAAAAATACCGCCACTTTGAATAGGTTTATTTTAGGTTCCTCCGGATCAGTAGTATCAATGGGCGTTCCTCAGGGCTCGATTCTTGGCCCATTTCTGTTCTTAGTCTATTAATGACTTACCTAATATTGTAGGGGACAATCACGAATATTGTAGGGGACAAACACGATATAGTATTATTAGCTGATGATACCTCTTTAGTTTTCAAACTCAATCGACAGTCAGTTCTTTTTGACAATGTAAATAATGCTCTATCGAAACTAGTATACCTACAATGCTCTTAAATGGCAATAAGACAAAATATATTAAATTTACAATACCTAATGTTAAACTCCGATACCAATGTGCTCTTAAATGAGGAAGAGTTGAGTCTTGTGGATACCACTGTTTTTCTTGGTGCTACTACTATTGACGCGAAGCTTCAATGGGTCCCCCATATATCTAAATTAGCAGGCAGACTTAGTTCTGCAGCTGTAAAAATTATTAAAAGTCTAACCAATGTTGATACAACTATAAGATTAGTTTATTTTAGCTACTTTCATAGTGTAATGTCTTATGGAATCTTACTGTGGGGTAATGCGACTGACATTGAAGTTATGTTTGTTTTGCAATAAAGAGCCGTACGGGCGATTTATAACTTAATTTGTAAAGAGTCCCTTAGAGAATATTTTAAGAAAATAAACATATTAACTTTGGCATCGCAATATATTTAAAAAATGTAATGTATGTATTTAAACCATAAATAGCTTTCATAAGAATAAAGATGTTCATACTTTAAATACTAGTAACAAACATAAGCTTGTAATACCAGTTACTAGATTCCACAGAATTAGTAATTCATTTATGGGGTAATGTATATATACACGCAACGTATTATGTATACGCTTTTACAACAAAATCCCAGAAAATGTACAAAATTTGTCATTGTTTAATGACAAATTTTGTTTTAATGTTTTATTAAAGAAAAATTGTACAAAAAGGTTATTATAATATAATGAATACATAAATGAAAATAACCAGTGATCGCCCCCATGCTGGTTCTATAAAAATTCATACAAAAATTGTACAAAATATCTAAATTTATTGTAAAATGAAATATGTTTTTAAAAAAGTCCCGATGGGTTTCTTGCTGCTTCTTCCCAGGACAGAGTATTTTTTGCGAACCAGTGGTAAATAAAAAAATGACTCAATAAGTATTATACAATTATATATATTGAATAAAATCATTCATTTTATTTCATTTGGACGGATTGCTTCTAAAATCGATATCTGGTCCATGTTAATTTGAAAACGAAACGTCAAAATTAAAAAGGCCACCATTTAAATTAATATAAAAATTTCAAAATTGAAAAGTTACAATTGGCCATTTAGAAAAGTTTCAAAAACACGTTTTCAAAATGGCAGCTACGTTTTTTAGTTTTTACAACGAATTTATATTCATAAACTTGAAAAAAAAGTAACTTTCAATAAGTATTGTTTATAATCCATATTGAATAAAAAAGTTTCTGTTTCTATCTGTTTCTGTAAACCACTTGGACTTCCAGATATTAACTTATAAGAAAACAACAAGTGTAGGTATTCAAATGGCGGCCTTTTCTTCAGTTCTGACGACTAATTCATATTCATCGGCCATGTGAACTCCCAGATATTGATTTTAAAAGCAATCGATGCAGAAACGAGTATTTTGAGAATGACTACTAGAGGAGAGTAACTAAATATGGGGTACCATTTTGTTTTGAGGTCAAAAATTAAAAACCATTTAAAAATTAACTTAATATTAATGTTATAATATTCACACATATATTTTTAAAGAGCAAAATAACAGTCTTGTGTTTTTATTACTAAACTATAGTATCAAAATTGAGCATTAAACAAAATTGCAAAATTGGCACTAAATATGGAACAGGTACTCAATTATGGGCTATAACAACTTTATTATCTTTTAAGAAAATTATAGCCATAAATGTTATCTACATCAATTATTAACTTTGGTAAGAGTAAGAAATGAATTATTTTACATCCAAATATCTCATATCCAAGTATCAAATTCTGGCCCAGCACAGTCATTATGCCCAGAGCCCACACATCAAGAATTTAATCGAGAGTCTTCTGAATTTTCTGAAAGAAGTTGCTGGCAGAACATACATTATGCTTCTACAGAATCAGGAGCTTCTTTGCCGATTATAAATATCTGGTTCAGGGTCTGAATCAAACTGGAAAACCTCTACACCTTCACCGTCAATCACTTCATCGTCACTAGTTCTTTTTTTGTCTTGTTTTTTTTTTTCTTATTTCTACGGTTTTGTTTTCTCTACGTTTACTTTCTTATCTTTAGTTTTCCTTTCTTTTTCAATATTCTTATATTTTTTTTTAACAAGGTCTCTTTTATGGGGTGACAAATTATAACAGAAGCCACAGCAGCTTTTCTACCCCTATTAGACATCTTTCTGATTTTTTTGGTATAGGACTTATGTAGGTTATAAGGAGATACTAGGCCTAGACTACTACGATCAATTCTGGAAGATGATGGTTCACCATTATTTATAGATTCGTGTGAGTTCTAGAAGTAAATGCTTCTGTATGAGTGTCACATCCGGATGTTAAGGTTGAAGTTTCAAATTGAGATTTATTTTCTATTTCAGATCTAGAACCTTGAGAATGATGCTTCGGTGAACATCAAAATATCTTCATTAAGAATTGCAGTCAAAGATTTAGGTGAAAGGGGCAATCTAGGATAGTTATTCGGTGTTTTTCATTATTGGATGATGATTTTGTTGTCTTCCCGCGAACCATTTTTATTAGTTTAACCATTTGTTCTTCATCCCAATTTTTACTCGGTTATTTTGATTGCGTCGCTGTCATTTAGAAAGAAAGAAAATTAATTACCTTTAGAGACTCATTTCTAACTACCCAAGTACTAGTACCTAAATATGGGCAAGCCCATATTTAGGATCATAGTCATAGTCCATATTCAAAATTCTTGAATGAAATAATGTTGAACTTGTACTTCACAAGTCATACATTAATAACAATTAATCTACCGATAGACATAAAATTAAACTTATATTTTACAAATAAAAGATATAGTTACATTATTTAGTCCTGATTATCATTGACAAAATAACATGTTTTTACTCATCTTACGAATTTTTTTATGAGCGGTGAAGCAACAACGTCTTACCTTATCATCACCTCTCGCAGAACTCACGAGATAGAGTGATTGCGGTGTTGGGGCTAATGAATGCAATAGGAGATATTCGTTTGCAGGGCCTTTTAATTATTTGTTTTCGAAATTTTTTAT